GCTGCCTGCTCACAAGTGCTGCTACGGCTCGCAGTCCGGATGGATGCCGGGGTGCGGATACAGTCCGCCTTTTGAATATTAGTTATATAAGGATTAAGACTCGAGTTGCTTTTAAAATATTCACGAGTCCTTTTCCTCGAGTTGAGTCAAGTTTAGAGTCATTTCAGGTAGAGTCTGAAGTCAAGTCTGAAGTCTATAAAAATGCGACTCGAGTGCTACTCGAGTCCGAGTCACTAACTCGAGTGCCCATCTCTGGCTCTTAGAGATAGGAGCTTCCCTTGGACCCACACAAGGATCTGGTGCACCAGCTTGTAGATGGGCGCAAACGCAGACCTCCCTGGTGGTTGATATAAGAAACCACCAATGTGTTGTCGGTGCGCACCAACACATGGCGATCTCTCAGGTCTGGTAGAAAGTATTTCAGTGCTCGAAATACGGCCAGCATTTCCAGGCAGTTGATGTGCCAAGTGAGATGGCGACCGCTCCACAGACCGCGGGCAGGGTGGCCACTCATGACCGCACCCCAACCGGTGAGGGACGCATCTGTCTATAACGTTATGCGACGACAAGGAACTCCCAGCACTGGGCCCTGTGACAAGAACCAAGGTTTCCTCCATATGTCCAAGGCACGAAAGCATCGCTGCGTGACCTTGATCATGCAAATCGTATTTCCCCTCTGGGAAAACCCCTTGGTCTTGAGCCACCACTGTAGGGGTCTCATGTACAGCAGGCCAAAAGCTATCATGTTGGACGCAGCTGCCATCAGACCCAGCAGTTTTTGAAACTGCTTGACAGTGAGTGACCAGCCTTCTTTGACTCTTCGACTCGATCCAAGCAGGTGACAGCTGTGCCTGCATCGTGGTCGAATCCCACACTACGCCCAGATAAGTGGTCCTCTGTAATGGAAAAAGCACACTTTTCTTTGCATTTAGTCTTAACCCCAACTCTTTCATATGGGCGAGAACAACATCTCGATGTTGAACCACCGTCTGCTCTGATTGAGCTAGAATCAACCAATCGTCTATATAATTTAGTATGCGGATGCCTTGGAGTCGCAGTGGAGCCAGAACAGCATCCACACACTTCATGAAAGTGCGGGGTGAGAGTGCAAGGCCGACGGAAGAACCCGGTAAGACCTGTTTGACAGTGAGCATCCTGAACTTCAGTCGCATGACTGAGCGATTCAACTGACGTAGATCTAAAATTGGACGCAACCCCCCATCCTTCTTCGGAACTATGAAGTACCGGCTGTAGAACCCGGAATCTCTTTCGAGAGGAGGGACCACCTCGATGGCCTCCTTCCTCAACAGAGTATTTACTTCTTGTTCTAGAACTGGAGCCTGCTCGGGACCCACCACCGTGGAAACGATCCCGTTTAAACGAGGCGGAGGAGAACCAAATTGAATTCTGTAACCTCTCTCTACAGTCTGCAGGACCCATCATGAGATATTTGGCAGAAGCTTCCATGCTGCCAGAAAATTTACTAAGGGAATCAGTCTCTCGAGACTGACCTCCGGTGTAATAGGAGACCTCCTCAGAAGTAGTGAGCCCCCCAGAGCCGCTACGTTTCTGGGCAGACACTGGGATGTGCACTCGCTGGAGACCGCTGTGCCCTGAAGCACCGGTGATGGCAGGGTTAACAGCTCGGCCTCCTGAGGGCACTGAGGAGAGACGGGCACCGTATAATGAGGTGTACACCGCTCTTCCTCAGCGGGGGCTGTCCTCAGAAGCCCTGGGACACAAACATCAGGGCTTCTTTGTCAAAAACCTCTTATCCAGAAGGATGGTTCTCAGATCGGCCTTCGGCTTCGAAGCCTTCGACTGTAAGCGTCGCTCCCTTCGCGATTCCCGATTCTGTGCCTCTCTGTATGAGGAGCGGGTACACGGCTGGGTCTGCTCCCGGCCAGCAGCCCCATGAGCTAGAGAGCGGCGAGGGAGGAACTGCTGAAACGCTGCCACTTGTTTATGAGCATCCTGAAACCTGTCGATGACGGAATTGACGGCGTCGCCGAACAGGCCAGAAGGCACAAGCGGGGCGTTAAGCAGGAAGACCCTGTCCTTCTCTTTGATGTCGGACAGGGTCAACCACAAATGCCTCTCCGCGACCACCAAGGCTGCCATCGACCGCCTGATAGCTTTGGCGGTCTCTTTCGTGGCGCAGAGAGACAAATCAGCAGTTCGCCGGAGTTCACTAATATCATCGGCTTTAACTTCCTCATGCTCATCTAACTCTTTAAGCAGGTCTGCTTGGTATGCCTGAAGAACAGCCATTGTGTGAAGGCATGCACCAGCCTGACCTGCTGCCGTGTACCCTTTGCCTACCAGTGCTGACGTGGTATGAAGCGGCTTGGTGGGCAGTGCCGGGGCTTTAAGGGATGATGCCTCACCGGGAGACAGATAGCTCGCGAGCGTCTGTTCAACCCGGGGCATCGCCCTATAACCGCACTATAGGGCACGATAGGGCACCATTTAATCCCGTGACATTTGAATAATTGAATAATTGACCAGAGACGGACAAAAGATGTATGAGTATGGTTTCGACCACAATCTCGACACCTCAGTGTGGAGATCGGGGGAAAATGGCAAGCCCCGGCATGGAGGGAGTGGCTTAGACCGTAAAAAGCATTCATCTAATTTGCTTTTAATGGGTTCTGCCTGCTTCTCGGCGGGCCATTCGAGATTTAATTTGGCCACGGCGCAAGTTATCACCTCCACGAGCTCCTCATACTGTGCAGACTGAGGGGGTCCTTCGGCGCCCTTGCCATCGCCCTCCTCGGAGGACGACAGTCTGAGTGCCGAGCCCTCTCCCCGGGGGGAAGAAACCGATCCATCGGAGCGTGCTTCCGAACCCTGGGAGGAGGCGCTGGATCCGGTGGCAGAGGTAGAAGAAGACTCGGCGTGCTTCGCTCCCAGGCAAATAACACAAAGGCTGTGTGTATATGATGTAGCGAGGGCAGGGAGGAACACATAACCTAAACTGCTGCTTGCCTTTATCACCCCCTTTATTTATCTTGTGCTTAGACTTTGGCATTGCTTTTTTTCTTTGCAAAAATGACAGACAACGGTAAATAGGACATACACACACAGAGCGCTTCGCTGAATGACAGAAGCTGTCTCCACCTCACATGCTTTTATAGCTTCCTGGTCACACGTCACCCCGTCCGTGACGTCGTGCCCATTCATTGGTCTGATTACACACACGATTCAGAACATAGTCACGCTGAAGGCATTCCCAAAGCATTCGACGCAGCTCGAGTTCCTGAAGGGGAACATGCCATTTATTCTGTGAAACACAAAAAGTGAGTTTCCGAATATTCTAGTCATAAACTAAATGAGTGCTGTTGAAAAGCATCATAAAAATATCATAACCATGATGTGATAAATAACTGATGAGAAAACTATGATAATAGCTGATAAGAAATATTACTTAAGCACCAAAACAGCACATAAGAATGATTTCTGAAAGATTATGCGATAATATTGACTGCTGAAAATTCTGGTTTGCTGTCGAAAAAAACAAAAATTACATTTTTTTTAAGTTGTTTTAAATTGTAATCTTATTTTACAATATTATTGTTTTTAATGACTTTTACTTGATTTTACGCCATTTTTGATCAAATATATGCAACTTTGGTCAGCATAAGAGACTTACAATATAAATAAAAATTTCCACCAACTCTAAAAATTTTAATGGCAGTGTATGATAGCTTTGTGTGAAGAGCAATTTAAGACATTATTAAATTCTACTTTTAAAAAAATGCTGTTCTTCTGAACAGCAACACAACTGCTTTCAACATTGATAATAATAATACATTTTTCTTGAGCAGCAAATCAGCATATTAGATTGATTTCTGAAGGATCATGTGACACTGAAGTCTAATGGCTACTGAAAATTCAGCTTTTCCATTACAGGAACAAGTTACATTTTAAAATATATTAAAATAGAAATTATCTTAAATTGTCCCAATAGGCTTCATCATGTTCTTTAATTATTTAATTGTCTTAACATTGACATGACATTATTAGAGGTTGTCTGATTTTAAATATTGCTACAGGTGAGCTTACTTCTGCGTTGTCTACAGCTAGATGACAGCAAGCAGCCAAAACAGCGTGGCCATCTTGGAAATACCACTCGGCCAGCTCTTTACACACTCTGTGCAACATCCTGGACAAAGAAGGGGAGAGGGTGTGAGAAAATAAGAGGTGAAATACTTGATTGCGGCTTAAATTAAGTATAACTTACCCACAGTATTTTTCTATGTTATCATTGTCTGAGTTTGCGGCATGGTTTATTGATGTGATCTGAGGACCATGGATATTGCCCTCACAAGCACCCTAATAAAACAAAGCACATTCTCATTTATAATATAGCCTCATTGGTTATGACACTGAGCACAGAGGTTCACAGTCTTACAACAACTCTAAAATGGGTAAAAAGAAAGCAGCTCTCTGTACCTGAGCCACCAGCACAGCTTCTTTCAGCTGACCTCTAGAAGTGAAGAAATTCACCAACTTTTTCACTTCACCAGTGGCAATGCAGTACGGGATGACATCATCATTGCCTTCTTGCATAAGCTGGTCTGCTCTTCTGCGTTAAACAGTTAATGAATGGTAATTCACTCACAACTGATTTAAAAATAGAATGGAGTATATGAGATACCTTTGCATGAGCTTTTTCCAGTATTTCATGGAGACACCAGGGGCCACAGAAAGAGCCTTCTCCCACTAAACATATAAAACAAAACATCATAAATATCCAAAATCATCAGAAAATTAGTTCTGAAAGAAAAGTGATAGACCATCCATATGAGAAAACTGGGTTAGTAAGAATAAATAAGCAAATACTTTTATTCAGCAAGGGTGCATTAAATCGATCAAAAATGACAGTAAATACACCTTTAATCTTACAAAAGATTTCTGTGTCAAATAAATGCTGTTCTTTTGAACTTTTTTATTTATAAAAAATCCTTAAAAAAACTTTTTTTTACACAAAAATATGAAGCGGCACAACTGTTTACAACATTGATATTAATAAGAAAAGTTTTCTGAGCAGCAAATTAGCATAGTAGAATGATTTCTGAAGGTTAATGTGACACTGAAAACGGGAGTAATGGCTGCTGAAAATTCAGCTATGTCCCATTTGATCTGTGCTTGAATTTGCTTTGAGTTGGTTTTTGCATATTTCTAGGTGCTGTTTCCTGTGTTTGATTTTGTTTCCTTGTTAATTCAGTGTGTGATTGATTTCATGTACATGTGTCTCTTTCATTGATTAGTTTGCTTTTGTGTATATATAGCCCTGTGTTTGTTCTGTTCATGGTCTAATCTTGTCTGTGCATACCAGTTGATCTGCTTGTGTCTAACGATTCCTGAGTATTCTTAAGGTTTTGTAGCTTTTAGTTTGCATTTAATAATATAACTGTGTATAGATCCTGCTCTTCTCATCCTTGCTGCAACCAATCATGACAAGCTTTCCCATCACTGGAATAAAATACATTTTAAAATATATCAGTGGGCAGTCGTGGCCTAATGGATAGAGAGTCTGACTTGTAGCCCGAAGGTTGCGGGTTCGAGTCTCATGTCTGGCAGGTGGGGGGAGGGAATAACCAGTGCTCTCTTCCACCCTCAATACCACAACTGATATGGGTCACCATACTTGGCCACACGTCACTTCACTCACTTTATTTACAATATTACTCTTTTTACTGTATTTGTAATCAAATAAATGCAGCCTTGAGAGAGACAGCCTTGAAAGAGAGACATTTTTTCAAAAACATAAAACAATCTTACTGACCCCAAACATTTGAATGGTAGCGCATGCATATCAATTTATTAGGGCTGTCAATGGTTACTTTAGCATGATTAATGATTTAAAAAAAATACTGAAATAAAACATTAAACACAATTAATCAACAATTAAACCCTGACCCATCAGCAAATATTGATATGTAATTAAATAGATTACTTAAGCAGAATATTGATGTAATGAATATATTAAAAAACTTTACATGTCTTTTCAGTCTTTACCTCTCCTAGTTCCACCATAAGCTCACAGTATCTCTGGATTTGACCAAGTCTGATATGGATTTCTGCTGCATTCTTGAGCCTTTCTTCTTTACTAGGCGCTCCAATACCACCCCCAAACTTTGACATCTTTACTATAGTCAGCTCTTGTGCTTCAGACTACAGGAAAGACAGACACAGTCAAATTGACCAAAAGCTTAATATAAAATACTAAAGAAGTATTGACAACATAATATTCACCAGAAGTTTGCAGGACTTCATTTTACATTTTAGTTGTGACACTATTAGAACGTTACATCACTATTTATCCACTCACAGTTTTGAAGCGGACCAGATGTTTCATATGCATGATGCCCTGTCCATAGTTCTGTGGAAGAAGACTATCATCCTGTCCGTTGATTACAGCAACCAGATCCCAAAGGTTATGACTCCCACCTGGTGGCTAAAAATAGAGAACAAATAGCCTATTATTTAGACTCCTAAATAAAGTCCTGTGAAAGTTCTGTGTTGAGATTCACTCACTGAGAAACACTCAGAGAACCATCTGAGCTTCTTCATGCGCACGTCACTAGAGAGCTTATCCAGCTCCTGTTTGATATCTTTGGAAATTTTTCCACACAGGAGGGGAGGAGCTCCAGGCACCATGGCACGATCTACACTCAAGAAATAAATATGTTTTAATGTCTTTACAAAACCAACACATACAGACAGTATATAATACTGTATGCGAATGTGTTTTAACCTGTGTTGCCAATGATGTCATCCCAGCTGTGGTCAGTAAGGATGTTGACCACTAAGGGAGCAATTAGAGGAGTGAGTGACCAAAGTCTGACCGTAGAGTCTCTGGAGCAGGAAGCCATGGTGAACGGACGGCTGGGGTGACATGTCAGACCTGGGGGATTTTATATGGTTGACAAGGTTGCATAAATAACATATTATTACCTTGGAATGACACAAAATGATGTATGAGTGTTCCTACTACAGCATGTATAATTCTACTAAAAGACAGTCCTTGGACAAATATAAGTGCTCCTGTTACATATTTAGGTCTCTTAACTATTCAATGTTCTGCTTTTCCTGCCTCCATTAATAGAACTTGAATCAGTCAACTGTGTCTAGCTATCACAGTGTACCCAGTTTTTGAACACTTAAAAAGAAAATAGTCTATGTGTCAAATTCATCCACAATGTATAAAATCATCATTTTGTCTGCAGCATATACATTTAATACCCTACCATAGACATCTGCTCCATGGTCATATACAGTGTCTAGACAGGTGCCGTCTCTGGTGTCCCAGACACGGATGGTGTAGTCCCAGCTCCCTGAGGTCAAAAGGTACGGCACCTCTGTGTTCCACATGAGACCCCGTACTGGAGCGGTATGGCCACTCAGCACGTTAATGCAGGCATCTTGGGTATAATCCCAGATACGGACAGTCCTAGTTGACATGCACACAGAAATGCATACAAGTTAAAGGTGCTTTTAGTGGTTTTTTGGTTTATGTTGTTTTGAACACTGACAGGGATGTGAATGTAACATCACACATAAATTCACAGTGCCATAGTGGAATTCCCCTTTTCATAGTCAGCCATGATTAATTTATTCCAAGTTTTTAATAGCAGGATGATATAAATAGGATGATTTGCATGGCAGCTCATTGCAGACTTTATAGGCTAATTATATGGGTACCATTTATTGCACAACTAGTGAAATACCAGGTTTTATTACCATTAAAATTTACAGAGAATAAAAAAATGCATCAGGAAAAAGTGCATCTTTTCTTTTTTCAAATTTCAGCAAAAACTGTAAATCAAAGCTATTTTATTTAACAATCAAATTTGATGAATGATTCATTTAGTTATACTATTTTTATTTTTAATTATATTTAATTATACAATTATTTTAGAAAAAATTTTTCTAATTAAACACACAAAAATGTCTATGAAAATAAATACAAATAACATTTGAGAATTATATTTTTTAATGCTATTGAATCCATGTACACCACTGTTTTTTGAAAGAAGCCTCTAATCCTCACCAAGGCTGCATTCATTTGAACAAAAATATAGTAAAAACAGTAATATTGTGAAATATTACGATTAAATAACAATTATTGTCTATTTTTAATAATTTTTTTTAATGTAAATTATTTGTGTGATGTCAAAGCTGAATTTTCAGCAGGTATTACCCCATTCGTCATTGTAACATGATCCTTAAGAAATCATTGTAATATGCTTATTTGCTGCTCAAGAAACATTTCCTATTATACTCACTGTTGAAAATGGTTGTGCTTAATATTTTTGTGGAAAATGTCAAAAGAACAGAATTTATTTAAAAAAAAAAAAAAGATTTTTGTAACTATGTAAAGGTGTTTACTGTCACTTTTGATCAATTTAATATGTCCTTGCTGAATAAAAGTATTAATTTCTTTCAAAAAATATAAAGAGTGTAAATGAAGATTTTTATGGAATTATTACCCATCATCTGAGCCGCTGCACAGTATGCCCTCTCTGAGAGGTGACCAACGCACATGGAATACTTTGGCCGTGTGACCTGTAAAGACTTTTAGTGGCTGGTCTGAACTGGTGGCCAAGTAATAGACTCGAACATTCTTGTCTTCACAGCCAGTGGCAATCATATCTCTGAGTGCGAGAGAGAGAGAGAGAGAGAGTGAGAGAAAGACTGACACACAATGTATTATAATTGTGATCACAAGAGAAAATAACACTGGTAAAAAAAACTGTTTTTGAAACTGGTTAATACACATACTTGTTATTTTGACTCCAATCACAGCCAAATACTGCTGCTGGATGTTTGTATTTGTGCAACACTTTGCCGTCAAGGGTTCGAATTATGCTGAAAGAAAAAGGACAATTCGGAATGTCATGTCTATGAGGATAATATGGCTTCGTAACACGGATGATAACCACCAGAGGGCACTCCATCCCACACCTCTGTCACTCAGTCTTGGACTTCATTTTCCAATCCTTTGCCCGGACTCCTCAGCACTCATTGTTTGCGCCTGTGTCTCGTTAACCCTATCTGCTCATTCTATATAAGCCTGGTTCATTTTATCATTCATGGTTAAGTCTTTCTAGTGTCAACTGCATTTCTAAGCCTGGTTTCCTGTTTCTTCCATGTCGTGATTCCTGGTCTTGTTACTCTGCCTGTTTTTGGGTTACCCTTTTGCCTGTGATTTTGCCCTGTTGTTATTGTCTGGACTGATTGCTTGTGAATATGACCTTGTGCCCGTTTCTGGACCTTGATTGTGGATTACCCCTTCATTAATTATACTGCATTTGGATCCTCTACCTTCGTGTCACTGTGCAGTTCTTGACAGATTGACTAAGCAGAAACTTGAGAATGCTATTCAAAATTGAAACAGGCTTACCAAAATCCATCACCACTGCATGTGGCTATTCTTTTGGAATCTTTATGGCTCCAGGCAACGCAAAAAATACCATTCTTCCCATGCTGCAACACAATTGCAGTCAAAATAAAGACCCATGCTAATTGTGAATATTGTGCAATTAAAATAGCAATAGAAATGTAAATTAAATATCATAAACCAGAGTTCAATAAAAAACAAGAACTAAAATTTTGTTCAATGCTTGCCTCATTAAATCTTGTGATCATTTTTCCTTTTTTTACATCCCAAATGAAGGCACCATTCCTTGATGTGGCTCCTGCTATGCAGTTCAAGTCTCCTTCGGGTTACAGTGAAAAAGAGAAATGAAGAAAAGAGTTTCATGAATAGCCACAAAAACAAAACCTCTCTGAAACTTTAATGATAACAAGGTCTGTGTATTGTTCTTACCAGGGGCCCACGACAGCGAGTAAACCACTCCCTCATTTCCCGGAGATGTGTACACAGCAGTTAAGGTGTTTATATCCCAAACTTTTATAGTCCCATCAAATGAAGCTGTAGCTAGAAGGTTTGGGTCATCTGGCTTGAATTTGCAGTCAAAGATGGTTTCAACATGACCCTGTGACAAAAAGAATGTCATTAAGTCATAAAACCATTCATGCTTGTATTATAATTGTATAATCATTATGATTGCATTCTTGATTTCAGTGTTATTATTGTCAGTTAAAACAAAACTCTTAAAAAAGTTGTGTTTATTAATTGACATAAAGCTGAAATAAAATATAAATATTAGATGAAGAGCTTATAGAATTTGATGAAATGAAAATGAGAAATATTGGCTTGCCTTGGCAACTAACTGAAACAAAATAAATTGAAGTAGTAAAATTACTAAAACTAGAATAAAAATAAATGAAAGTTAAATAGAAATGTAAAAACACAAATTAATACAAATTACAAAAGCACAAAATTACCCAAATTTAAAGGAGACATATTATGCCCCTTTTTACAATATGTAATATAAGTCTCTGGTGTCCCCAGAATGTGTCTGTGAAGTTTCAGCTCAAAATATTCCACAGATTATTTATTATATCATTTTGAAAATGCCTATTTTGAGTGGAAGCAGAAACACGCTGATTTTCGGGCCTGTCTCTTTAAATGCAAATGAGCTGCTGCTCACCGCCCCCTTTTCCAGAATAGAGCTGCGCCATTACAGCTCTTGTACCTGCTAAAACATCTGTTTTGGTTCAGATTATCATATGTATCGTGCTGAAATCATGCGTTTTAAACCATACGAGTTTAAACTTCTGATATACGGTTTTCTGAGTGCACACATCCGAAGCACACAGACAGAAAGCGGCTGTCACAGCATGTGAGTACTAAACTAAGTTCTTATTCACACACAAGTTTACGTTAAAAACACACATGAGTTACAAAAACAGTCAGTTATGTCTGTGAATGTAAATAGCTGGGAAATAAATCGTATGTTTTTTTTTAGATCTGTGTGGCAGCAGCAATATACAGTAAATAAACGGATAAATCCACTGCTCTGTTGTCTCCTGTGAGGCTGGGACTCTAAACAGTATTCTGTGCTCGTCTGTGCAGCCAATGACAGAACAGTTAGCATGTTTTGCTCAAACTTTCGCCATGGCATTAGAACTAGTACACCGTTGTCGCTTGCAAAACACAATAACGGCGCCATGGGTGTAAACTTTCAGATTAAGGGGCGGTAATATTGTAATGAGATCCCTTTGCCACGTCACCAAGGGAGCTAAATCAGACGCGCTCGTTTTCTCAGACGCTTGCAGAAAAAGGCTTCCCAAAAATAGCCATAAAAAGTTTGGGAAAGTATTCCCAAAGTTACTGGGTTAATATTTTTCACGTTTCCTTGGTTGGTAGATGCACTGGGGACCTGATAATAGCACTTAAAACCTGGAAAAGTCAGATTTTCATGATATGTCACCTTTAAACTAAAATAAAATGAAATAAGAAAATATAAAAAATAAAAGCTAATTGAGAATATTACTAAAAACTATAATTAATATTATATTATATAATAGCATATTCAGATTCTGATTCGCTGACAAACTTGAAACTGAATTGAAATACAGTAAAAATATGTGGTAATGTATGTGACACAGTCAAAAGGTGAGCCAGACAAAATATGCTTAATCAGTGGCTCAAGGAAAAAGTTCGGCACATGTCTTGAAATAACCATAAGTACATATGGTATTAGTGGTATAAACAAAATATTTGAGTTCAGTCTGATGACTTATTGAAAATGAATGCAGGACCACTTCAGAAAATTAATGCACACCCGAGGTCTGCACATTTTGCTTTATATTGTGGGCGTATTATCACCTCAGGTGTGCATTCATTTATGATAATTCAGGGGTCAATTATTGTTTACTTAACAATGGGTTGAAAAGGTTTTGTTGCATTTTCTTTGTCAGTAATAACAAACAAGGCAACTTAAAGAGCTGTTTGTCTGAGAAAATAACATGTATACTTGCTGAATTGATCAGATGACCTTTAAAATCAGCACAAGGACTGAAGGGCACCTCTTCAACAGCAAGATGACTAATATAAAACATAATTTTAAGCTTTAGGTGCTTGCATCAATGCATTCACTGTATAATTACAATATAACCTAAAAAAAATCCCTGTCTTTTTTAAGTGTAGAGTACTTTCATGATATTAAATATAAAAACTATAATAATAATTTTAAGGTTTTTCAATATATGTTAGCTCACAGGTAACAACATGTCACTTTTCCTACCAGATCCCGAAGGAAGTCCCACTTTTTGGTGCCCATATCATATAGTCCAACCCCCCCATCCATGAAACAGCAGACAGCGTGGCCGGGTGGGAGGGAGAAGGCCTGGTTCTGTGAAAGAGTAGGTGGAGGCACAGCCTCGCTAGTGGAGGAGGTGTAGTGATTCTTGGAAGGGGAATTCGAGCTGAAAGCTAAAAGAGAGATGACAACATTGACTATGTTTACTTGTGCACCAATAATCTGCTTATTTCGATTAATTAGAGTAAGGATTAAGAAGTTTACATGACATGAGCAAACCTCTTCACTCACGTTTTCTATGAAGTGTGGGTGGTTATTTTTACTGCCAATTACCACAAATGATAAACTCACATACAGTAGGTGTGTTACTGGCCACTGTTTTAACCTACTTAAGTCAAAGGCGAAACACATTTCTATGGACGTATTGGATGGTTATTTGGCACCACGATAAAAATTAAATGTGATAGAAATGCCACTGCAAATGGGGTTGCCTACGCTGCCATCACATTCTTTGCACCATCTCTGGATGAAGATAAGGAGCAGAGACTGGTGGCTGTTGTGCTGACAGTTCAGCGTTTTTGAGGGAAAACTTTAGAAACTCTGACACAGAGTTCATTCATGGAGATGTGTGAACAGCACACGTCATCCGTGTACATCTGACACACTTGGTCAGAGTGGAAACGAAGCGTGTTAAGGTGTTTACATGGCAGTTTATTGTGATTAAAATTGGCATACGCCACAAATTTTACTACCGTTATGATTACTACGATTATGAGCTTAATCACATAAATTTGATGTGTTTACATGAGGTAAAGTTTAATCGCAATATTGCCTATATCTCATTATAATCGCATTATGAGGGTGCATGTAAACATAGTCAATGTGATGGAGAACACAGTATACAGAAGTGATAAAAAACAAAACATACATTTCTTCGCTGGTGGGGAATTTAAAACATGAAGTGCATGGAAGCCGGTTTTCTTCAGTTTGAAGTTATCCAGAGGTGTCGCTCTTGATACGTTCCATATTCTCAGCACGCCAACTTGAGAATCTTGAGGATTCAATATAATAATTTTTGTTTTACTGATGCTATACAAATACATAATTGAGTGTTCCATTTCAAACTACCATTACACCCCAGCTGTTTTACGTAAAAATGAAAAAGTAAATAATAATTAAATGAGAGTTCTAAAATCAGATAAAAGTTGGCCTGTTAATCTAAAAACTACCATTTCCCAATGGTACTTCTGTGAGTATTTATCTTACCCCCTGTGATAAACATGCCAGGGGCACTGGGGACCCAAGCCAGGCACTGCACAGAGGCAGCGGCACTTGGGAAACTAAAGGTAGTGATGCAGGATAAAGATTCAGAGTCCAGCAGTCTGATGCCATTGTGCATGTTGGCAATCAGCAGATAGTCTGTGCTGAGAGGGTCCCACTCTAGAGCTGTGACAGGGTCTTCTTCATCTGTGCCTTCTAACGACTCGGGACGCAGTACATGCTTCTGATTCTTTGAGCCTAAAGTAATATAATTAAAAGAATTGCAAGTTATTTTGCATCTTAGTCTTGGGCAATTTTAAATACACAAGTCCAGGCACTAATAATAATATGAACTGCATTTAATTTGGATATAGTTCATATAATTAAATATTATATATTGTTATTATTATTATTATATGTTTAAAAAATGTTTAACTGCAGTATGTTGATGTCATGTTAGATTTTAGTATTTTGTATTAAACAGAAAATTCTGTCTATTTACTCACCCTCATGTTAGTCCAAACCTACATGACTTTCTTTCTTCCACTGTGGCTGCCCCGGAAATTGCATAGTAGGTACAAAATTTGGTTTGAAACTTACTTTGCGACCACAAAAAAAGTATGTTCTATATAGAATGAATGTAATACTATATCCGCCATGCTTTAGGTCATGTGACCTATGGCGTGTCGCTTCTCTGCCATTCACAAGTCCTCTGTCGTGGCCTCATGGGATAGTAAAGTGTCCACTGGATGCACACTTTTAAATCTCTATGAATTCGGAACATACTATTCACCTCATATACTATTTTTCATCTACTACCGTTTATAGTATTGAAGTAGGCATGTTCGGATACAAGGTCAGTGTTTGGTGAAAATTGTTTGGCTAACATTCTTCAAAATATCTTTGTTTGTGTTCCGCGGAAGAAAGAAATGGATAAAGGTTTGAAATGACATGTTTCTTGTATAAAAAATAAAAAAAACATGAACCAACATCAGAAGTCATGCTACCTGGTTGAAAGATGGACAAACTGCCATCAGTGTGTCCAAATACCACTTTTCCCTTCTTCAGTGGATGCCAGCGGAACAGGCAGATATCTGAGAGGAAACTGTGAGCCTCCTTGTGCACTGTGACTCCTAAGTCTGGCCCAGAGATGGTCCATATATACAGAGGACCCCGGTGGGATACGAACGCAATGCTATCACTTGCATTCCAGCACCAGCTTAGAGAAGCTGGGATACCTGAAAACACCCGTTTAGGCAAGTACAAGACCTCACATGAATTAATCGCAAACAGAAACAGGCATTTTGAGTGATGTCTTGGAGGACACATGCTGTCAGGTGGAATATGAGTCCTGAGGCGGTGTGTATTTCTTTGGATACTAGTGTAAGTGTGTTGGAACTGGTACCTTTGGTGTTGTCAAGCCGTGTAACCGCCTTTTGCTCGGCTACATTCCAGATGATGAGCAGGTTATCAGCGCTAGCACTGGCAAACACCTCAGGGTTGTGTGGACACCACGATATAGCTGTGATTGTCTTTTTGTGTTCAGACATGATTGCTTGCAGCTTAAATTCATTATATCTGTGATCAAGCTAGAAAGACAGACTTCAATCAGTGCCATTTAAAAAAATATATAAAAAAATTCAAGCCTGAATTCAAAATGTAAGTCACATTTGTAGGATGTTACAGGGTTCACCAGAAAAATGAAAATTCAAATAAGAATATTTTTAATTAAACCTGAGAGATTTATGTCCCTCCATTAAAAATCTATTCCACCAAAACTTCAAAATGTTAATAAAGGCATTGTAAAAGTCATTCATATGAATAGATCAAACCGCGTCAAGCAAACACGTTTGAGCTTCCATATACCATATTAGATGCGCTCTATGTATATGCATTGATCAATGTTTATACTCTTATTAAAACTCTCAGGTTGCATTAAAAATCGCTTTTTGTGTTTTGAAGATGAGCAAAAGTCTTATGGGTTTGGAACGACATAAGGGTGAGTAAATGATGACAGAATTTTCATTTTTGGGTGAAGAAAGAGTAATTTTCTTCATTGACAGACTATTGTTTACCTCAATTCACATTCCAATAGTTTGCACTTACTTGGTACACATATATGGCAAGCGTGGCACAATACGCAAACCTGTCCCCACTGGCAGCACACACGTCTTTGTTCCAGGGCTGGCATCCAGCGGCCAACAGGCCAACCTGCTTCACCTGAGACATCTTTACCTGGGCGAAGAGATGCCAGTAACACCACTGAGGATCTGCAACATGTCCATTGATCTCAGCAATCATATAAAAAACACAGGTGTGGGGTTGTGAAAACAGACATTAAAGTTAGTGAGTCCAAAATAGTTGATTCTGAATAACCCTAGATTCAAGGTCCACTAGCACAGGAATAGACCCTCATTGTTGACTCTCCTGCTCTGTCCGATATCACTCACTTGTTCACTCATTCTCTAATCCCTATATAGTGCATGACAGTTGAGTGCACTAGGCTATATCAGCAAAGAGTAAACAAAATGATGCGAGGAATTCGTACACTGATGTAATAGAGAGCTGGAGCTGTAGCAACAACATTCTCACATACTTTTATCCTATTTTGCACTGTAATTATACATACTTCTGTGCCAGCTTTGTAGTTTCACTGATGTTATATTAAAGCAATAAATATTAATTTGGGCATTTTAACGCAATCACCTAATTCAGCAAAGAATACATCATGTTCAAATAACTCAATCTTCTAGTGATGAATGCCAGACTTCTCCAATAAAATACTTCTCCAATCAACTAAAAACTCTATCCAATCAACAACCAATGGATAGAACCTACATTTTTTTCCTGTTTGGATAATCAATTTCACTCGGATGTATGTCACAATACGGAAGAAATTATCTGACTGTCGCTACAACTATCATTACACAGCGACTTTAACATACATCTAAATAACATTAATCTGACCGTAATATTTAAATAGCAGCTTACAATGAGATAAACTTTAAGACTGAAAAAACAAAACAAAACCATATGTAACTGAGTGAAATCTTTAGACCTAATAATACCAGACCTCACTCAGTTGCTTCTAAGCTCCATTTGGGCCCATTCGTGTTAAGTAAAACATGCTTTCAAATGTATGTCTCAAGAGACCCGCATTCTGTTCCATTCTTGTCCCATTGAGCTGAGGCAGCTCCTACCTTTGGTTCATTGTGATATCTGCTGAACCAGCACAGGCTTTCCATGTCTGCTATCCTCTCGCCTTCACAGACGCAAAGCTGAATGAGGCTCTGCGACTACAAGAAAAAGAGCTGCTTCAATAGTGTGTGCGACTGTTGTCCACTGCACAAGTGCACGTGTATGTAGAAATGGGGGTAGAGGAAGAGAGAAAGAGAACATGCCCATTGACTGGTTCAGGCTGCTCATGTGGGAGAGTGAGAGCGACAGAACAGCTCCCGCCGGTAGCCAGGCAACAGCAAGATCCCTTCATTTAAACTCCCTCACTTTCCCCCTCCCCGACATATGCACAACCACGAAACTCATCTCACCCCTGCACAGCCTTCTTGAAGGTGTTTATTCTTCCTTTTGCTCGTCATGATTAACATGCACATATAAACTGTCCAGCATGACACACACATACACACAACACATGCACAAATTCACACAGCCCACACTGCACACACAGCAGGGCATTTTGTCCAAAATGATATAAATATAAATAAGCCCAATTTAAACCATTTTAAAGGGCTTCCATTTAAATCATCTTACAAATGCAAAAAAATGCAAATGCCAAAATGGCCTCCTAAGTGGCTTGTTTACACAGGCAGGACATATGTTGCCTTCATGTGCTATAGGAAATATCCTGATTCCCAATTCTGAAGTCGTAATTACGAGTTCAAGTGCTTTGCTATCATAAATGTGTAGCTTCATGTATGTTGTCAAACATACATAAGCCGCTCTAGTTTATACTCTTACTGCACTAGATAGGCAGCTTGCTGACAATTCTGGAATCAAATACATGTTATTTACGCTGTGTATAAAACATACAATATGCATATATTGGTTATTTATATATGTAAAATGCAAGACTTTAACGTCAAGACAAGGCAACGTAGCTGTTGTGGTAAAAATGAATAAAACTACCAGTCACTACAGGAATTGCTCTCCACTCCGCCATGCTTAAAGTTTATAGACTGCCCAAGTTCTCAAAGTTTCCCCAGTTGTTAATATGACTTTAGAGGCCATTCATGTCCAATGTCTACGAAACTAGGAAACTATGATTAATTCAGATAGCTTGTGAAGGCAGCAATAATGAGATGTCTGAGAGACAGGAGATCAAATAGTGGGTGATCTCTGAGAAATGTGTTTGTGTGTTTGTTTATGACTCCGACCTCAGGCCGCCAAATGCCACAGAGATCGTGATCAGCAAAAGTTTGGCTCTATTAGTGATGTCACCCCCTCAACACCTCCTACCCCTTCGGCTGGGCTGCGGGGGAGAGCGTGAGTGAAATACAAACAGAGCAAAACACACACGGAGGGAGAGCGAGAGATTGGCCAATCATGAAACCGTTTCCTTGGTGATGAAGACTTGAACTCCAAGAGGCGGTTGAGATGAAGTGGCAGGAGCTCTGCTGGAGAGGGCTAGAGTGCCGGCCAGCATCAAACATCCTACACCTGGGTAACACATGCACCGTATCGACGTACATCCTACATTTGCTCCTACACCACATACATAAGCTTGTCGTGTCGGCCCACACACTTCCTTGAGTAACTTCTGTGAGTCACACATGGCCCATTCATCTACACTGAAAACCACATTACAAGCATTTAAAAAAAAAAAAATTCTAGATGATGTTCTGACATCATATTACACAAAAGTAAAGTCCTTGAGTAAATTGCCAAATGGCAATTTCTTTCCCAGACAATGCATTTCCATACAAATAGCACTGAACTGAGATCTGTAATAACATTTGCATTATTTAGATAGCTCGGTAAGTATCTCTCTTTTATCACGAACATAAGAATACCTACATGCTTACTACTGCCTGAGCACAAATCCAAAAAGATCAGGGCACATGCAAGAACTGGAACTGAACAAACAGCCTACTGCATAAATGAAGCAAACATTGTTTTTTGAATAAAGCACTGGAGCCTATTCTCTGAAGAATTTGCTTTCTATGATATTGGGACAATACTGTGACCACAGAAATCGCATTGCATGCCACAGATAGCCGTTAATTCAATGCAAGATTCACACAGATACTTCCATTATCCTACCCTCATATAAATCTATGAATAGACCAGAATGTCCAAGCTATTATTGTGTGATAGTAAAACAAAGATCCCAAAAACCATGTCTGTAGGTTAGAGATTGTCACTATCGCCCCAGCTACAGACCCATTTGTTAGAATAAAAGCACTTTACTTTGTCCAGAGAAGACAGTCGCTGCTGTATGGTTCAATTTCCATACGGAAATGATATCAAGAGTATTGTATTACATATACATAAACATACATATTTGTATGGGCTATATAAATGCTATGAAATTGTTCCAATGTTTAATAGGTTTCATATATATGTTTAACTTTTGATATATGACAATGTTCTTCATTTAGGACAATTTTATATATGTGACCCTGGACCACAAAACCAGTCATAAGGGTAAATCTTTCGAAATTGAGATTTATAAATCATATAAATGAATAAATAAGCTTTCCATTGATGTATGGTTTGTTAGGATAGGACCAGATTTGGCCGAGATACAACTATTTGAAAATCTGGAATCTGAGGGTGCAAAAAATCTAAATACTGAGAAAATCGCCTTTAAAGTCGTCCAAATGAAGTTCTTAGCAATGCATATTACTAATCAAAAATTAAGTTTTAATATATTTACAGTAGGAAATTTACAAAATATCTTCATGGAACATGATCTTTACTTAATATCCTAATGATTTTTGGCCCATACCATGTATTTTTTTGCTATTGCTACAAATATATCCCAGCGACTTAAGACTGGTTTTGTGGTCCAGAGTCACATATGTACATATATTACATTTGCGTACTGAGGTATAAGTATATGTTTATATATCATGTAAATATAAAGGGAGCCAGAGGGGTTAAAGTTCCACAGGAGACAATTGTGATATAATGTAAAAATAGGGGCAATAGTAATATCGATATGCAAAATTTTGATAAAACAGGATATCTTAAGTAACATTCATACTAGATAAGTAAATGGCAGCAAATGTTGGTTTAGGGAGGTGGGTGAGGTGATGTTGGATTAGTATAATCTTACTCAAAGGGCACATTATCTTGTCTCCTCCTAATATGGGGAAATAAATGTGCTACAATCACCTTTAACAAAGTGAAAATTTGAAGTCTCCAAATATATGTGACAGTTTCAAGGATGCTCATTAGATACATAAAACTTTTTTTTATATATAAATATTAGTGTATCTTCTAGTTCAAATAGCATTCAGAAGGTTGCAGATTTATGTAACTAATAAGAGTCCCTGAAATTGTTACATATATTTGGAAACTTGAGACTTTCACTTTGTTATTGATTAATTGCACATTTACTTAAAACTAGCTTTAAGATGTTGGTCGCAATGTTAGATCAGACACAGCAACAAACAGGTGTTTAGTAAAGTGCCGTTTTTTTTTGTTGTTGGGTTTTTATTTTTTTTTGCTATTGAGTGTTTTATCAAAAATAACATCAAAAGGGCCTATAGTCCCGCACCCAATCATGAAAAGATAGAAGCGAATAGCAGCCATGTCTCTCATTGTCTGCAGCACTAAAACAAAAGCACCAAAGCTTTTCATAAAACAGCACATGCAGCTGAAGCTTATTTCTGACTTGAGTAAACTTTATAGCAATGAATAAGTTTACATTTAGTAGGTAAATAAATCAAGAAATGCATAATTCTCTAAGAGAGTGATCATATTAAATTATGTTTTAAGAATGTACATTTTGGTGGTGAAACAATTTTCACTCAAAAACTGTTAGTAAATTTCACAAATAATTACAAAGAAATGTCAAGTAACACATTGAATTGAATGTACATTTTCTAAATAGAAAAACTGAAATAGCATCTTGTAAAACACTCCAATAATCTTTGTTTTATTTGCAACTTTGAACTTTTTTTTAGAGTATTAACAATGCAAAGTGGCTGTTTCACAGCTGTTCGTCTTATATATCCCAACCATTATTACAATTGATTTACTTTTTAATTTACTGTATTTATTTATTTTTTTGCAAGAATATCAGCCACACAACAGACCCAATAAATAGAGATATTTTCCCCAAAAACTGAAAGTGTTAACATGTTAACTACAAACACATGACATTAACAGAGATTTTATTCATAAAATAAATATGTACTGTATTGACAGCCCTAATCATTTTACTTTTAAGTCATACTTTCTGTTTTACATGATTTAACAAAGCAAAACTGAACCAATGTCATGCTATTGCAATGAGAAACTTACTACATTGAGCACTGGCACACAATCCCACTCTCTCTACATGGGGCCTAAAGAGGATAAAAAAGATTGACAACGAAAGAAACATTGGCCACTCTGCATATCTAGTATTTTTCTAGTGATGAGGATCTTCACTCAACATTATACATAGTTTTTTTTTTTAATACTCTGAACAACACCATCTTCCCTATTTTCTCTTTATATTCAAATACTCATCACCTTAACCACGTGCACATCTTCAATTACTTAATCAGTAAATCTTTTCCTCTAATCACCTCATAGGGACTAGGATATAAGATTCCCCAGGGACAGTG